GGCTTGTGATCCATGACTCCTATGAACCTAGAGCTCTGATACCATCTTGTCACGACCCCGGTTCGCCCTCCGTGAACCATCGTGATGGCACCTAGTCTCTACAACTAGGTAAGCCTAAATTGCGGAAAAGAAACCAAAATTTTGCGGAAGCAAACAACTTAAAATAGAAATAAGGAAAGTAAACAGTGGTAGAATGTGCCGCTCGGCATACACCGTATTTAATTCTCAAAAACCAATACATAAATCCAAGACCCGGAAACCTATGAATCACAAGCTAAGAAGTACTACATAGCTCTAACTCCAAAATGTCTAACATGAACTGAAATACATAAGGGCTAATACTAAACAGCAGGAATAGAAAGAAACTCCTCGGTGTGCGGACGCGGCAGATATACCTCGAAGTCCCGGAGAATCGCCTCGCCTCAAGAATAGTAAGCCTGAGTAGAGGTACCTGGATCTGCACATGAAAAACATGCGCAGGAAGGGCATGAGTACACCACAGCGGTACTCAGTAGGTGCCAAGCCTAACCCCGGTTGGGTAGCGACGAGGAAGGTCATGGCCCTACTGGGATTAAATAAATATTAAAGTGACAGGATAGGATAAGCAGTGCAATTGAGAATCTATAGTAAGAGCCTATACAGGATAATAAAAGTACAATAACGAAAAACAGAGGTAAAGGCAAACCACAAGGAACTACCACTCACAGCAAGGATGATAACCGGGGATCTCTTGGTATCCCGAGGATCTCTTGGTATCCTCAAAAATATACTAGGGATCTCTTGGTATCCCGTGGATCTCTTGGTAACCTCAATATACGTGCCAGTGATCTCTTGGTATCCCGCACCTCAGTCCAGATCATAAGTACTTACAGGGGATCTTCCGGGATGCCGTCCCGTAGTCCCAAATTAAAACGCACAACAGCAACATAAGAATACTCAATAAATGCTAACTTTCGTACTAAGTAAACAGATACATCTAGCCTAACATGCTTCACGTAATGCAATCAAGGGAATTTAAGCAAATAGGCAATTAAGTCAACTAAACATGCTTTTCTAAACTAACAACAGGCTAAATACGCAAGTATAATGAAACAGGAGAAGGAACTCAATTGAAATACTTAAAGAAAACCGGATTTTCAACAATTAGCTCAAGTACGCGCTCGTCACCTCGCGTACGAGGCATTTCATTTACCACGATCAATCCTAGGGGAAAAGTCCCCCACACAAGGTTAGACAAGCCACTTACCTCGAACAAGTGCAAGTCAACCCGAAACCACGCCTTTGCCACGAGTATCCGACTCCAAATGGCCCAAATCTATTCAATTCAATTTCATAATGTAAATAACACTTCAAATAACTAATTCTATAACTAAATTCTAAGCTAAGATGCAAAATTAGGTAAAATGAACAAAACGCCCCTCAGGCCCACGTCTCGGAATCGGGTAAAATTTACATTTTTGGAATCCTCATTCTTTCACGAGTTCATACATACCAAGAACACTAAAATCGGAGCCCAAATGGCCCCTCAAATTCTCATTTTAAAGTCTCTTAATCCCAAGCCCTAAATCCCACAATTACCACTGATTTTCTTAAATTTTTCATGCTTAGGATGATAAAAATCATTATAATAACGAGTTTTAGGACCAATGACCTTACCCCAATGGACTCCTCTGAAAATCCCTCTTGAAAAATGCTCCAAAAGCTTCTTCCCGTTTGAAAAGAGGTGAAAAATGACTAAATTTTGCGAAGGCAAGTATTTATGTTCTGCCCAGCGATTTCCGCATTTGCGGGCCCTAGGACCGCATCTGCGGTCCCGGTTCTGCGGAACTTACGTCGCATCTGCGACTTTTATTAAATTGCCTGAAGCCACATCTGCGATTGCCCTTCCGCAGATGCTCCACCGCTTCTGCGGTATTCCTTCCGCATCTGCGGAACCTGAAGGAGAACCAAAAATCCGCTTCTGCGGTCTACTTAGCCGCTTCTGCGGCGCCGCATCTGCGGTTCCCAAACTGCAGATGCGAAAATACCAGAAGCAGCATAAATACAACATCTGCAACATTTCTCAAAACTCCTCGTCAACCATTCGAAATCATCCCGAGGCCCCCGGGACCTCAACCAAAGGCACCAGCAAGTCTAATACCACTCCCCCAAACTTGTACCAATCCATAAAACACCTAAAACAACATCAAAACCTCAAATTAACCATGGATTCAAGCCTAAGAACTCCAAATTTCTCAAAATACACTTTCGATCAAAAAGTCTATCAAACCTCGTCCAAATGACCTGAAATTTTGCACACACGTCCCAAATGACATAACTGAACTATTGCAACTCTCAAAATTCCATTCCGACCCTCGGATCAAAATCTCACATCGAACCGGAAACTTCAAAATTCGACCTTTCGGCATTCAAGCCTAAATTAGCTACGCACCTCCAAAATACAATCCGACCATGCCCCTAAACCCAAAATCACCTAACGGAGCAAACGGAACTATCGGATTTCCATTCCGAGGCCGTCTTTACACTGTTCCGACTACGGTCAACTTTCCAACACTTAAGCTCTCATTTAGGGGCTAAGTGTCCCAAAACTCTTCGAAACTTAAAACTGAACATTCCGGCAATTAAAATAGCAGAAATAGACTCGGGGGAAGCAGTTAATAGGGGATCGGGGCGTAAATTTTAAAAATAACTGGCCGGATCGTTACACTCTGCTTGTCCCTCCGATTGATCCTCAAACACAAACTTTTATCGCATTTTCAAGTCTAAATTTCAATACCCAGCTGAGTTTTAGTGCTATGTAAGCAACAACTTGAGGTTTCAAACCACTAGATTCGTTCTTCACAAGACCAACAATAGAATTTCGAAAATTCTCAAGAAACAAGCCTTTGAGTCTCCTCCCCAAAATTCGATTAAAGATCCAAATAGCGAAACACAGCAACAATAACCAAAACAGATCCATTCGTTAACCTAAAGAGTAGTCGGAAACAAACCACCATTCACCTACAAAGCTTCTTCACAGCCAACACTCCACCATTGTACCACCAATCAACCATCAGAAAAAGAGCCGACCATAAAAAATGACTACCCAAAAGACCAACATCACACAAAACAATCTGAAATTTTGCTACAGGAAAACGAACCGAAAATAGGTTTGACCGTCAATCTTCTTCCACTATTTCTATTTCTTTTCTTTGCAAAGGCTATCTTTCAAAGTAAGGGAATAGGAATGTGAGAAAAGTATTCCCCAAAAATTGCTGCTAATCTGGTAGAGGTTTTGGATCTGTGGTGGATGCAGATGTGAAGGGAAGGGTTGTGTTGTTGGGGGTGTTGGGTTAAAATGAGGGAAGAGGAGTAACATGGAGAAGGGAGGGAGATAG